GGAGTGTTGTATGAAAGGAGAGATGTTTAGCACTCCCCTAGACAAGGACGGACACATATGTACTGGTAAGGCACGGTCGTCTTTGACGACTCTTACCAACACATTTTTTGTACTTGCTTCGGCAGTACATATACTAAACATGGAACGATACAGAGAAGATTAGCATGGCCCCTGCGCAAGGATGACACGCAAAATCGTGAAGCGTTCCACATTTTTAACGGTGCGGGAAAAAAGAAAAAGACTATGGCTGAAAGGGTCGTTGACCCTGATGCTCCTTCCACTTCCAGGGAGGGCTTTGGCGGCGACACGAGGAAATCTCGGCGGCGGATTTCTTCGGACTCATCTATCGACGACGATATGGATATGGATATGGACTTCATGGAAGCCAATATGTTTCCATTTTGAGTGATTTATTCAAAGTGCATTTAAATAATGATAAATAGTAAAGGTGCCTTCTCGCTTATCCCGCTGGAAAACAACCTATGTGTGTATTATCACACGGTTGTTATAGTCAGTTACAGGGTGTTTTAGACATAAGAGTTTTGTATAATTTAGACATAGAAAAAAAAAAAAAATTAAAGTTTAGATAGATTTAGCACTAGCTTAGTTAATTTATAATTTATAAGAACTTGACTTTAAAGATTGAAGTAAGACAGTTATACATGGACGTACTTATATATATATATATATATATAAAGCATGGAAGTTGGTTGGGGGGTGTGTATTGCATGTGGTGATATATGTATACATATTTACCTGTCCCTTTTGGATGTCCCGGTTAAATTCCTGTTGGGGCTTCATAGCAGCGGCTGGAGGGGGAGCTGAGTCATGCGCTCGTACGTAATCCGGTTTCTCCCCTCAATTTAACGGCCAAAGATGGCCGGAGGTGAGTTTTTAGCTGGTAGGCGGTCGAGATGGTTGTCGGGTCCGGTAGAGCTGGTGGATCTTAGTTCTCATTCCTGACTTGAGACGTCCGGTTCTCCTTCTGTCTGGAAGATCCTGGTTCTGGTTAGGGTGAGGCGTGGTCCGGTTCTGGTTTTGCTGGAGTACCCCGTCACGAGTCTCGGTCGAATCCAGCACTACCCTGGTCTGGGCCAGGGTGTCTTCTAAAAGATTTTCTCTCTGAAAACAAAAAAAAAGGTTAATGTTAGGGAAGTCTCTCGTGGCCACGGAGCAAGACGGACGTGTCTTAGATTTCTCTGCCTTGTGCTACTTATTTTGGATTGATGGAGGCTTTTATGGAATGGAAAAAGTTGATATTCGTGCTCAGCACATTGAAATCTACCGGAATTTGGTGAAGTTTTTCTACTTTTGTTATTTTTGAAACTTATATCTTGTTAACAAGATACGCTCTCTCTTAGAGTGAGGTTATGATGCCTTGTGCCGTATACTCAGTATACTCGCTTTTTGGACTGAATTATTATTAATTAGTATCTTTATTGAGAACGTTTGCGGCCAATTGTGCACTAATTTGTTCATATATGTTTTATTTTATTATATTTTGTGCTAAATGAGATGTGCGTGGATAACTCCAGCGCATGCGCGGTAGCACCTTGAGGAGACAGGTGGCACATAAAATTGCTACAATTAATATATTTGTTCATTAAAAGTGAGTTACTTTATATGTGTATTGCAAGGGGCGATCTATGGGACACCATAGTCGCCTATCTGGAGTACTGAATTACTTATGGTTAACTCTATAGAAAGTGTACTTCAGTCAGTGGGGCTTAAGCTTTTTATGCCGGTTAATCGTTGTAAACTCTTGAATAATAATAATTAATAGTGAAACAATGAGTGAACATTTAGTATTTTAGTATTTTATACTAATAATTGAAATGTGCTGTGATAAATTTATACTTATATTTACTTTGTTTATGAGTAATGTGAATACAGCGAGTGATTTGCAATCTTATTTGCAAATGAACTTTATGACTGATAATTGTTTAAAGGATACTATAAATTATTATGAAGTTAATTTTATAGGCACTCTATGTAGACCTCTAATTTTTTAACTTCATATATGATACATGTCTGATTTTGAGGTTATAGTGCATTTGTGCACATAGTACAGATAGTTAAAATCCTTAAACAATTGTGGAACAATATTGAATAACATCAATGGAATATTTAGTGCTTTGCGCTAACCATTGAATCTTGTTTTGATAAACTATTGTAATAATCTTTTGTAAGATGTAATGTTAACACAGTGATTAATTTGCAGATGTACTTGCAACTGAATTTTATGTTTGTTAATTGTGTAAAGGACTCTGCTGAAGATTCTGTGAATTATTGTGAAATTAGTTCTATAGATACTCTGCGTAGACCTTTAATTTTGCAATTTCAATTTTATATATAATACATGAGTTCTATTTGGAAGTTATAATATACCTGTGCACATAGCACAGTTTTTGAATCATTAAGGTACAATTTCATGGTGTCGCTTGTCGCTGCGATGAGTGATCACGTGACCGAATTCTTGTCGCCAGCGAAACTGCTAAAAAGTTGGATTAAATTCAACTTTCAGCGACGTCGGTCTCGCGCATAAATGTGAAATTTAAACATGGAACTGCAAGATGTAAGTATAATAAATAAATTAATACAAGATTCATACTCAGAATCTTTTATAATAGGTAAATAAATAAATACAGCGTTATGTTCAAAAGAATCCAATTTGTTAATTTTGAGGTTAACTGTGATCACATCACAGTAAAATAAACATTATAAATTGTTAAATTTCAAAAAAAATTGTAAAATTGTAATAATTTCATGAAATTTTCAGATAGCTGTACATACTTGTGGAATATGTGAAATAATTATTGAGGAAAAAAACATTCCAACTCATAGTTGTATAGAAGGATATAATCGGTTGTTAATTGATGAAAATTTTACTTCTATCCAGTAACAGGTATTATGTATATAGTATAT